GCTTTGTTTGATATATGTATATAATTGTTATATAATACACAAATATACGACTACACGATATAGACCAATTGTCAGACTGTTCCCACACATTTACACATGAATACGAATTTGTATATTCGTTTCTTTTATTAAGTTGTAATTTTATACATATATATGAATATAATGTATATGTGATACTTTTATATATATGTATGTGTATATTCACATCCCATATTATAATTCGGCGGCATTTACAAAGCCCTAAGGTTTTCATTACCCAATTTGATATATAATATCATTTTTATATACAGTTTCAACAGATTGTTCGCATATACCAAGGTTTTTCGCATAGGTATATCCAGTTTAAACGTTTTGCTGCTCTTTCTTGAGCTATACTTTATTTCTCAAGCATTTCGCATCGCTACTTTTGTATATGCATATACATATGTGCCCTAAAAATGATATAGTGCTCATACATACACATATATGATATATGATCTGCTAGCATAACTCGCTCACTTTTTCGCGTTATCTCTTTTAATAAAACTTGAGTGTAGTAGACATACAGCTATTATCTGAGCATTACTTGTTGCAGTTCCTAAAATACATTTATCTGCATGTATACCCTGCCTTAAGTGGGCATTATGATTTTTTGTAGAATTTTAATAAATTGGTTTTATGGTAGTGTAGATAAGAAATGTTTATAGACTATATCTACATTGAACAACTATAATAGGCTTTACGTATCTATCTGCTGTTCACAATTTTCTTTAAATATCTGATTGTTATATACAATATACAAAACTTATCTAAATATTCTGCTTACTAAAAAATGTAGATGCTCATTATAAAGGAACCACCTATATATACGCATATGTCAGAGAGTAGACTGATATAGTGTTCCATATATATATATATTAAAAACTAATAGTTATATGCCTAAATATGGTATATTAGCTACATAAATCTAGAATTAGCGTTCGTTCAGATATTTATACTATAAATATGTATATAGACCTGTCTATGTATGTATATATCAATTGTCGATCTGGATCTCTATTTATAGCATCTAGACTCTTCAATTTTGGATGCATATACTATAGCAGATGCAGATCAATTTAACACTAAAATAAAAAATCGATTGAAAACTAAAGTAGTTTGATGAATTGATTATTTAGACAATCTCAAGAGATTGACTACATAAAGTATACCCAATACAGCGCCTGCCAGGGTATCTGCTAGTCGATCACAATTGTCTGACGCATACTTTCCGGTTTCTGCCTTGTTTTCTGCACTGATCTTTATTTATATATATGATGTGCGCTGTCGAAGCATTTGAAGTGCTTTCAAAGGAAACCGGTTTTTGCACTCGTAATCCCCATTAAGTCTAATGACGTCGCAAACGTCTTGCCACACCTGCAGACCCAATTTGCATACGAAAATGATGACAAATTCCCCATGTCCCAAAAATGATAATA